CATATATTGATATGTTAATAGATCTGGTGAAGTCATGCCAGTGTGAACAAGAAAAATGAGCTATTCGTGCATTTAGCACAACTTGTAACCAACGAGAGGAAAGAACTGTAATGAAAAATCGAAACAATAAATTTATCATTGAGTTATGGGTTTCCTGTGTCTAATTATATGCACGTGTTGACAAGTTCGAAACCGACATAGACGTGATGATGGTTTTTCCAGCTAAAATATCGTAAATCTTCGCACTTTTCAAGAGTCCGAGGTAAGATTCTCTACAGAACTAATAATATATAAGCGAACAAGCGATTTTGAGCGATGTTATTGGCATTAACCGATTAATTTTTTAAGGATCCGTTGTGTTTTGGTTTCCGCCAAAGGTCAAGTTGATGTCAAATTTGAGACCTTGTAGCGTTACTACCAAACAATCGCCCAAGGATTTGTYTAAGCHWCTCAAMGAATATYATTTCAGCATTACAATAACCATGTTTCACGTCGTTTAAAGGTTTAGCAAATTCAGAGTCGACTTTTTTGTTTACTATACTTATTAAGGCTGTGAAAAGGGGGCTAGCGAAAAATATTATCTTTATGTTTTCTAATCTTTCAAATGAACTCAAATTCACGCAAATGGTAAATAAGATATATTATTACAAGGGCTCAAAATGATTTATCGGATGGTGTTGCTCAATGTTCACTTAAACATTCAAAAAGTTAAGCCAAAATTGAACGGCAAAATTAGCATATCTGGGTGCCTATAGAAAATCTTGATTTTCTCCATTTAAAAGCGATATTTGAGCAAACCAAATACCTGACGATTCTTAGGATACATTACCCTACCTAACAACAAAATATGAGTGAAATCGATTTTTGCACCGGTGCCACGGATTTACGATTTTGTTTGATCATTACAGACATTCACTCTTAACGAGTACCTTATCTCCAATCTCAATTCGATTTGAAGGAGGCCTTTGATCATATGTCGCTTTCTGTCTCATACTTGCTGCAGCATTCCTTCTGGCCAACCCATAGGCGTACTCCAATCTCTTGCTAAGGTCTTGAATGAATCTAGAATGATCTTTGCTAGAGTTTGTATTAGGGTCTAGTCCAAAGTAGGCATCAATAGCTAATCTTGGATGCCGACCAAACATGAGATAGAATGGTGAAATTCCGKTGCTACTATGTTGACTACAGTTGTAAGCGTGTACGACAGGTGCCACATATTCCTTCCAGTTAGATTTCTGACTCTCATCAAGTGTTCCAAGCATGTGGAGTAGAGTTCGATTAAACCTCTCACACATCCCGTTACCCATGGGATGGTACGGAGTAGTTCTGGTTTTCACCATTCCTGCAAGCTCACATAGATGCTTTATAACTGCCGACTCAAAGTTCCGTCCSTGATCGCTRTGAAGACGTTCCGGAAAACCATAGTGTACAATGAAGTTGTTGAACAGCGCCTTGGCAGTGGTTCTCGCTKTTTGGTTGCAAGTTGGAATGGCTTGTGCGTACCTGGTAAAGTGATCGGTCACAACCAAGATGTTTTCCGGGCCTCCTTTAGATTTCTCAAGCTTAAGAAAGTCCATGCAAACGAGTTAGATTTGTGCACACGAGATGTTAACTAGTGGTGCCACTCGATATGGTGGTGCCACTATCGTTTTCTCGGATCCGAGATGTCCCATTTCGTCKTGGATGCCTCGGAAGGCCTTATCCTTTAACGCGTTCGGGACCACCAGCTGGAGGACATCGGAGGACGTGTCTTTCTGGCGTCTTCGATAAAGAATTCCGTTCACTAAGGTCAATCTATTCCATTTGTTAAGGTATCTTCTAACTTCATTACACTCCTTACGTAAACTGGCTCCATGGGGCTTTACTCCCTTTCTGACGTAGTACATGACATTCTTTAGAACCCCATCGTCTTCCTGGCATTTCCGTAAATCTTCCATCGGTTGTTCACTTCCCTCAACAGTTGTTTGAAAACCAATTGTGTTCGAGCAACAAAAACTCTCCAAACGAGTATTATCCTTCGTTGCCACAACGCCGTTTGAAAKAGCTTGGACAGAGTCGCTTGGAATAATCTCATAATCATCTCGGTAAGGCCTYCGTGATAAACCATCAGCATCCCTATTACTTTTCCCTGAACGGTATATGATGTCGAAGTTGTAGGCTCCAAGGGAGGCTAACCACCGATGACCCGTGGCATCAAGCTTTGCAGTAGTCGTCACATAAGTTAGAGGGTTGTTATCACTGCGTACTATAAATTGGTTGCCATACAGATATTCGTGGAATTTGTCGGTCACTACCCACTTGAGACATAAACACTCTAGATTGTTCGCTGAGTAGTTCTTTTCGGCTTTTCGTCGAGCTCGATTAGCAAAAGCAATCACCATTTCTTTCCCATCCTGTTYTTGACTAAGAGTTGCGCCAAGCCCCTCACCGCTCGCATCGGTATTCAGAATAAAAGGCTTGCTAAAATCGGGGTAAGACTTTGGGTGATGACAAAATTTCCACAACTTTTTCGAACGCTTCCTGACATTCCTCAGTCCAATCCCAAGCATCTTTACCAGCATTCACAACAGACGTGACCAGTTCATTCAAGGGTTTCACTAACTTGGCATAGTTCTTGACAAACTTACGATAATAACCGGAAAATCCAAGGAATGTTCTAAGTTCATAGCTGCAAGTTGGCACGGGCCAKGTCTTGATGGATTGGATTTTATCAGGGTCGGTTTCTATTCCATGTGATGAGATGAGATGACCTAAATACAGAGGAACCCCGCCCACAATTCCCTGGAGACGGGAACACAGGGGACCCACACATTCTACACTCAATTCAATGTGACGTGCTGTTTTGGCAATAGAATTCACGATTGACTTCCAATCAAGACAATATATAAAATTGATATTCATACCATAATTGCTAAAATCTAAAAATCTTATGTCGTTTGTGTGGGAACCTATTGTGTTTTTTTAGCTGGGGGAGATATCTGCAATAAAAAAATAGTAACTTTGTCCAATGTACAACTTTCGCTTGTTAAGCAAAAAGTAAACTATTTCCGGATTTATTGTCCACAGTACAATTTTGATTTTCACTCACTAGCAAAAAGGCGGGCTATTCTAGGACCCTTTGCGCAACGTACAATTCTCATTTTCACTCGGGACGATAGGTGGCAGGTGTGGAACATCAAGCAGATTGACTTGAAAGTCAGTGGCTGCAGTAGTATGCGTAGACAACCTTTTAAAATTGATATGGTAATGGACTGCAGTTCCTTAGTTGAGGTGGGTATGAAAAGTTTTTGGTCGAGGATTATTTATTAATAAGTAATACTTGAATGTAGAGCACAGACTCATAGACCACTTCTAGTGGTTGTGCACTATAGATCTCCTATCCTCCAATGGGACTGCTAATCTGAATAAGTACTTTACCAYWTCGGTGTACCCCAGGGCACCAAACTGGGACCCTAACYTTTCATCGCAGTCTACRATAAATCAGATATTTTGATTGTCCTCACGRGCACATGACACATTCTCACAAGCACATGACACAAAGAATTTACAAGAAGTTGTTGCAATTTCTCATTATACGCAGGTTGTTTAGGTCGAAGAAAAACCTTGCCGGACACACACAAAGAAAAGAAGAGAATTTCAATTTGTCCACTCAATTAGAAAAATAGACCTAACGCGTTGCTATGGCGTTACCAACCAGTTCAAATTCTAGATCTGTGAGAAAAAGAAGTTTTGCTTCCAAGAATTCAACTGTGAAATGAAAATACAACAAACAATGAAACTTACTCCCGTGTGGTTTGAATTTAGTGGAATGTTTATAGCAACGCGTTATAGCCGATTAGGTCTAAAATAAAATGGGCGATTGACTTCCCTTCAAGAATCGATCAAGATCCTATAAAACATGACTACTTATACCATAATTGCTAAAATCTAAAAATCCTTTTGTTTGTTTGGGAACCCTTTGTTTTTTTGCTGTGCGAAATATCTGCAATAAAAAAAAAACAGTAACCTTGTCCAACATACAATTCTCATTTTCGTGTTCTAGGCAAAGGGGATTATTTTCGGACCCTTTGTAAAACGTTCAAATCTTGATTTGCACTTGCTAGGAATAGGGGACTATTCTAGGCCCCCTTGTACAGCGTACAGTTCTCATTTTCAGGATCRCTAGCCAATAAGTAGACTATTCCGGATGCATTGTCCATAGTACGATCTTGCTTTTCAGTCTCTATAGCCAAGCAGACAGATTTGAAAGTCAGTTGCTTATCAATGTCATAAACGAGTCAGGTCATCTCCAKGTAGGAATGATCTATATTTATAAATATTTATATTTTTACATTCATACCTTACCATGCTGTTTAAATTTTAAATGAACATAGACCACAGACTCGTAGGGCACTTCTTTTAGCATTCCAATCGGCTCGTTGGGATGGAGTCCTTCCTGACGCAAAAGTATCAACGGGTACAATTGTCTTGGAACTGCTAGTCTGAAAAAGGACCTGTCCGTTTTTTCGGTGTACCCCAGCGCACCAAACTGGGAACCTACATTTTCATCTCACCATGATAAACGACAATTTGACGTTCATGTGTAGAAATATTCTCATTWTGTATGACACGCARGTTKTTTACRCCGAATAAAAAYTTTGTCGGACAAAAAAWCTAGAATATCAAAAATGGCCTTTTCYATGAGCGAGAAGGCCAGTTTGAAGTGTCACATTGATAAACTGAAAACTCAACTCAATGTGACATACTATGGCAATAAAWTTCGCAATTTACTTCCCTTCAAGACAATATATRATATGACTATTTATACCATAATTGCTCAAATTTGAAATTCTCATCTCTTCTGTGTGGGAACCCTGTGTTTTTTAGCTGTGCGAAATTAGTCTGCAATTCAAAATTAGCGATTGTTTAGAATATCCATTCGATGCATGTTTACACAAATTGCACAGGGTTTTTTTTGTTGTTGCAGGTTCTAGCTGGGCTTGTGGTTCCACTTGAGTTTTGAATAAGTGTGTCAATAAGAGGACGTACGACTCAAAACTCTGCACAATTTGCTAAATTGGGATACTTTCAGAAGCCTGTAGCAGTCAATTACACTGTATAGCCATTTCAACGATATGAAGGCCCCCTTATCACCCAACTTATCATGCATTTTCTCAGACCCTTTTCCCTTCGTTTTGGCCGGACACGAAAAATCTCCACAAATATTATCTTCAAATATAATCTACATATCTTCACACATATTGGTAAGTATTATAGTTTTAAGAAATAAATAAAGTGCTCAATGACATGCAGATTAGCCAGAGCAACAT